GGGGGGGGGGGCTGGCCACATGCATGCGCTGGGAAGCTGAGCTTCCTGTTTCCGGCATGCACTCCAGCCACCTGGTCTTCCGGTTTCTGGCTCAGCTTCCTGGCACGCGCTTGCACACCGGGGGGGAGCTGTTCTTCCAGTTTTTGGTGCTCCCGCGTGTGTGAAGATGGGCTGCCAGAAACCGGAAAACCAGGTGACCAGCGCTGATTTCTGGCATTCCCGCATGCACAGAGGCACACCAGTCACCTGGTTTTCCACTTTCTGGTGTGCATGCACAAAGAGCAGCTGGCTGGCACACATGTGCACACCGGAAACTGGAAGCTCAGTATTAACAAGCTCCTGGAAGAACAACAGGCGATGGCTGGCATGCCCGGAGAGATGAGTCTGCGCGCCACTTCCGGCACGCATGCCATAGGTTTGCCATCACGGGACTAGACAGTCTCTTGTCTGAAATAACATAGGGCAGTGGTGGCTAGCCTTTTTGGGCTCCTGTGCCAAAAATTGTGCACGCATGCATGCACATGCACTCTGCAAGACTTTTCAGGACAAATAATAGGCCCATTTTCCCAGTATTATAGGAAGTGATGAAACAGGCCTATTATTCATCCTGAAAAGCCTTGCAGAGGCTTTTTTCAAGCCTCTGGGAGGCCAAAAAAGGCCTCAAACCAGCCAAAAAATCAGCTGTGAGGCACGCACATGCGCAGTGAGGTAAGTTTACCTGTGGCTCGTGTGTCAGCACAGATGGCCCTGCATGCCACTTGTGGCACATGTGCCATAGGTTCACCATCATGGGCATAGGGTCTCCTGTTATTGAGCAGGGGGCTGGACTAGAAGACCTCCAAGGTCCCTTCCAGCTTATTCTATTCTGATTCTAATTCTTTCCACAGGCATTTCCCATTTCACTGCAACCGCAGAAAATCTCTTAGAATCAGAGAGTCCTAGAGCTGGAAGGGACCTTGGAGGTCTTCTAGTCCAACCCCTTGCCCAAGCGGGAAACTCCATACCAAGGGCCCCCAAACTTGGCAACTTTAAGACTTGTGGACTTCAACTTCCAGTCGAAGTCCACAAGTCTTAAAATTGCCAAGTTTGGAGACCTCTGGTCCATCCCACCCCAAACAAACGGTTGTCCAGACTTGGAGGCAAGGTGGTCCACGGATTAATTAACTAGTCTAACCTCAAGCAGGAGAATCTATATATACCATTTTGGACAGGTGGTCTCTTCTTGAAAACCTCCAGCGATGGAGCACCCACAACCTATAGAGACAAGTCATTGCTCTGATTAATTGTTTTCCCTTTCAGAACACTTTTCCTTAGTTCTATGCTGGGTCTTTCTTTAACGGTTCTACTTTCTGCTTCTAATTGAGGGCCTGGTCAGTAGCCTTCCAAATCCACAGCGAGATCATTTAACAGATTAACAGAGTTGGAAAGGACCTTGTAGGTCATCTAATCCAACCCCACCACCAACCCATCCAAGCAGGAGACCCTACACCAGGGGTGTCCAACCTTGGCAACTTTAAGACTTGTGGACTTCAACTCCCAGAATTCCTCAGCCAGCAAAGCTGGCTGAGGAATTCTAGGAGTTTAAGTCCACAAGTCTTAAAGTTGCCAAGGCTGGACACCCCTGCCCTACACCATTTCTGACAAACAACCATCCAGTTGTGTATTTGCATGTAGCAAATACTTCATTTTATTATGTTACATTTTTCTGTTTATCTACAAAAAGTATCTTGACTCACGGAAGCACCCAAACCTCACCTGGCTGTCCCAAGGCAAAAAACCCAAAACCCTACCTTCCTTCGACCATAGGGCTGAGCCCAGGGGCTGTCTTGTCCCAACATCAACAGGCATAGAGAGATAAAGAACATCTACATGCCATTCAAAAGAGATAATCAAAAAGGCAAAAGGGGATTTTTTTAAAGAAAGACCAAAACAGCTCCTTGCCAGCAGCAAGTGAGCAGATGAGCAGCCCAATACATAAATAAATAAACCAGGGGTGGTCTTCAGCAGGTTCTGACTGGTTCTGGAGAACCGGTAGCGGAAATTTTGAGTAGTTCGGAGAACTGGCAAATCCCACCTCTGACTGGACCCACCAACCCCATCTCTTCTCCGCCTCCCATCGAGTCCCAGCTGATCGGCTGGGTCTTCTTTGGTTGCCCTGCATGGGAGAACGGAGCTGGAAAGCAGGTTAGTGGGGTGGGGAGGGAATGGGATTTTGCAGTATCTTCCCCTCCCACACCTACCAAGCCACGTCCACAGAACTGGTAGTTAAAAAAAAAAAAATTGAACCCCACCACTGAAATAAACCCTAATTTGCAGAGATAAAACACCAAGTTTGATACTGGACCAACCATCGAGAAGTAAATAATTCTTTCTTTTCTGCGGTGCGAAACTCAATTGCACAACTCCTGTCCAGAAACCGTCCCTTTGGCAGCTAAGATTCATAGTTTAATGGAGGGAGGGATTGATGGAGGGATCAGTCAAAGAACTACCAACTCAGACAGACAAACAAACGGTCAGCAACAGCTGAATCAAAGAACTACTAAGAAGAAAACCACACTCCCACCAATACTAACAGGGCAAGTCACTACAATGTAAATTGAGTGCAAACCCCACTCCCTTGTAGTGCTGATGATGTTACCTAGTTGGGTCATGAAATGTCTGCAAGGAAACAACCAAGCTCAGAGAGCACCCAGGACCCCACTGTCCTCCTCCTCCTCTTCTTTCTCCTCCTCTTCTTTCTCCTCCTCCTCCTCTGCAAATCCCACTCCCTTGTAGCGCTGCTGATGTTTCCTTTTGGGTATTGACCAATCTTCAAACTCAGAGAGCACCAAGGATCCCACAGTCCTTCACTATCACCTCCTCCTCCTCCTCCATTCAACACACCCCACTCCCTTCTAACACTGAGGATGTTACCTAGTTGGGTCATGAAATGTCTGCAAGAAAATAATCAAGATCAGAGAGCACCAAGGACCCCACAAATCTGAAAGCATACCTTCTCTATCTATCTATCTATCTATCTATCTATCTATCTATCTATCTATCTATCTATCTATCTATCTATCTATCTA